ATTTGACACGGTGAGTCATCCAGATTTATTAAAAACATTAAATACCTTAGGCATCAGAGTAGTAGCCTATCAACTACTAAAGAGCTACCTAACTGATCGAGAACAGTATGTCAGTATTGGCGACTCTATGAGTGATAAGCAAACAATACAATTTGGCATTCCCCAAGGTACCGTTCTTGGTCCTATTATGTGTAATATATATATTAACGCCCTTTTTGAACTACCTATACCCGCAGAAATCATAGGTTTCGCCGACGACACGGCCATTTACTACCAAGATACTAATTGGAATACCCTAAAGAAAAAAATAATTAACTCCCTACCTATTGTTTTAGATTTTTTTCGTAACAAATTGTTAACAATTAATTTTAATAAAACAACATTTCTTCCATTTACTAGTTACGATTCAAATTTACCTGAATATGATTCAATTAATATAAATTACAACAATAAAAATGTTTGTATAAAAATGTCAAAAACAACTAAATACTTGGGAATTATAATAGATTGTAATTTAAAGTGGAATGCACACATTAGTAGTGTTATAAAGAAAATTAGATTCCATTTAGCAAAATTTAAATTTTTAAAATGTTTTTTGGATATCCCCCACTTAAAGATGCTCTATTATGCATTAATACAGACTCATCTAACCTATGGTATTATCGCTTGGGGAGGTGCGGCAGATATCCATATTAAACATTTACAAATAATACAAAAATGGATTTTAAAAATTATTTATAATAAAAACTATACTTACCCAACAGAACGTTTATTTGTAGAAGCAGAAGTTTTGGATTTGAGACAACTTTTTTACCTACGTGTAGCAATATTTCAGAAGAAGCATATTTTCCATAGCACTCCGGTACAACATTTATACCCAACGCGTTATAAAAATCATGTAATCACCGTACCTAGAATGGAAAAGACTCTAGGGCAAAGAAGTTTTGTATATCTCGGTCCTAAAATATTTTACGCACTTCCGGTGGAGTTTAAAAACCTAAATTCTATAGCTCTTTAAAGGTCTAAATTTTAACAATGGATATTAACTAAGCAACGACAAAAATTTCATGACTTTATTAATTTAAATATAACTAAAATCTAAAAAGAACTTACCTGCAATTATCCAATTATTTATGTATACAATAATTATTTATAAACTATTCAATGCTGTAGCTAATTTGTCTCTATAATAAATAAAAGAAAAAGTAGTAAAAAAAAGAAATGCTATGTAGAATATAATTCTCAAAGTATCCCACGCACAAGGTTCGCCTTTAGTGGAACCACTATTTATTCACATAGACAATTTTTTTTTCTGTTAAATATAAGTTAAAATTGTAATTCGATTTTTAAAGTGAATAAATTTATTAATATTATTATTATTATTATTAAACGCAAAATTCCCCGAAAACCTTGGCGCTTTTATACAAAGAAATCACTCTCGCTCCCCATTCCGAAATCCCTTTTATTTAAGTCTTTAAACATCAGGAAGCAGCACAATATGTTCTCATTTCAGCGCCATCAATTTTTATGCTCATAAGTACACGGGAGAGTCGTATAACGGTTGCATCGCTGACTTCAAATGTGCTTACTTAGAAGGCAATGGGCCGATGCATACTTCAAAAACTCCAGTAATGATAACAGTGTATTCAACAAAGTCGATTTCGGGTGAATTTCAAGCTGGTAGGAATCTCACCTTAAGGTTTATTATCGAGCGATTTTCGTCAAGTGGAATCTTTGAAAACTTTCATAATGGTTCGAGAGCTGCGATGCATACTTAATAGAGTCGACCTAGAAAGTGTGTTTTTCACGGTTTTGGTCAAAGCGTGTAATGGTATTTGTTTAATGCGAAGTAACTTGGTGCTTCCTCTTCAATTTCGTTTACCCAAACTTTCGGGAAGTAATGAACAAGTTACCAGTTTTGAAAAAACGGTTTGCTATATTTTTGAAATGCGATCTTACTTTAGGGATATAACGATTAGAAATATTTCTTTATTGATTGGGAATAAATTATTTCAAATTTAGTAGGAAAGAAAGACATTTTGTTTTCAAGGGTAATATGGTTCTTTGAGAAACAACATACTAATAAGGAAATTTCTGTAAGACAAATAATTACGTCAGAAACAATTCGTTTCTCAAAATTCCATCAGTAGCAATATCGGGATGGTGTACAAAATTGAAGTGTTGAGGAAGAAAAATTTGTATTTATTTATTATCACATTACTCAACAGGTCAAGACACAATTAGAGAGTAAGAGTACAAAAATATATAAATACAATTAATTTGGAAATAATATAATAATTGATTTAAAAGCAGGTGAGAAAAAAAGCTAAGATAATAATTTTTCTAGCATTTTATGAATATATGCAAAACTAAAGATTTCAGAGAACATTATTATAGAAATAACACCTAATGTTATAAATTGAACTAAACTACGCCGCAGATGAAGAGGGACAGCCAAAAAATTGCCTAATTTTGACTAGCTGTAACTTCGACATTTCTTTGCCGATGTTAGATTTTCAGCCAGAGGTGGAAAGCGCCATCTTTGCTGTTTGCGTTAGTGGCATTGAATATATTTTTTTAATAGCTTCTTGTTGTACAGGGTGTGAATGTAAGGCAGCGAAAAATGTCCGTTTTTTGGCAAAGAATTTGGGAAATGTGGGGGCCAAATCAAGTTCTTTCTAATGTTGAGTGGATCACTAGGTCGACACCTCGGGATATCTTTGCCATTTTTTTGATACTTTGCGTTGCTATGGAAATATTGCCATTTTATGAAATTCCATATTTGTTTTAGAATTAGCCTTTTTTTAATTAAAGAATAATAGATACCGACTAAACTGCATCAAGGAATAACGTGTAAAGAAAATGGTCAACACTAGCGGCGTGCAAAAAGGGGTTTATGAAATTTAAAAAACGAAAACTTGATTTTATTTGAAATTTTTAACACTTTTGATAAGCGTTGCAGTTTAAAAGGTGCCATAACTGTAATGAGTTTGATTTTGACTAATTCAGAGGAATACAAAAGTAAAACTGCTCACCCTGTAAGCGCTTACTGATAGTGTCAGTAAGCAATAATAGGTACTTACCATTTTTGCATTTGTAAGTCGGGACATTTGCTTTGACGAAACTTTATTTCTGCAATTTTATCAAGAAGGCGACAAAAATATTACCATACAGATAAGATTTTGACGTTAAATTGCATAAGTCAAAACAAAAATAAATTGCTATTGACCAAATGGCGCGACTTACGGCTGCAGATTTGGTGAATATTTTAAGATTGCGGCAGAGAAATCACACAATAAGAGAGATTTCTGATTTTCTTAATGTCAAGAAATCATCCGTTGGAAGAGCGTTGCAGAGAGAAGGTAACAATGGTACTGCTGCTTACCGACACGGGGGAGGATCTCGAAAAAGATCTAATCCTCGTCAGGATCGAGCAGTAGTACGGACTGCAATCAGAAACAGAGTTTGGACTGCCAAGAGAATCAGAGCGCAACTGCAGTTAAACGTTTCAGCAGACACTATTAGAGGACGCCTACATGATCAGGGATTAAATGCTCGCCGTCGGCCAAAATGCCCACTTTTAACTGATATTCACCGGGCCAACAGGAGAAGATGGGCCCATGAACATATAAATTGGGATCGTAGGTGGAGAGACTGTCTTTTCGTTGATGAAAGCCGTTTCAACCTCTACAATTCCGACGGCCGATTGCTATCTTGGCGGAGACGGGGAGAACGTTATTTAGCAGAAAATATGCGTCCCCAAGTTGCATTTGGCGGTGGTGGATTGACGGTTTGGGGCGGTATCCAACACAACGGAAGCACAGAACTCGTGGTATTTCGGGGTAATGTAAACGGCCAGGTTTACCTTAATGAATGTCTAATTCCGCTAGTTCTCCCGCTTGCTCGAAATTATGGCGAGAATTTTGTTCTTGTGGACGATAATGCTCGTCCTCATCGAGCATTATTAGTAAACAAATATATACCTACAAGAGCAAAACCTTAATCGTACTGAATTGCCTCCTAGATCTCCAGACTTGAATCCTATTGAGCACGTCTGGAGCCGGATGAAGTTGGAGTTTTCCCGAAGGGAACGTCAGCCAGAAACTCTAGACGATCTCGAGGAGATGATTTTAGAGCCCTGGGAGGCAGTTTCTATGGAGCTAACTAATAACTTAATTTCGAGCATGCCAAGGCGGTGTCAGGCAGTTATTCAGGTTAGAGGAGGTCCAACGCCTTACTTATTAATAATTAACAAATATTTATTAAGGTTAGGTTAGGTTTATTTTAATATTCTAATGAATTCCATGTACACACTTTATAAAATAAAAACAAAAAAAAAAAAAGACTTTACCTAAGAGGTAATCAAGTCATTAGAGAATAGATCAGTTTAAGACTTGTTTTTCTCTTTATCCGTTCATGATTTTTGAGTATACAGTAAGGTGGGTCGAAACAGGCCGATATTTTTTCTTTTTTTTTTTTTTTAATAAACGCGCTACTCTGAAAAAGTTGTCTTATGATGTTTTGAGGTATTCTTAAAAAAATGAGGGTTTTTTAACAAATTTGAACCGGACCCGCGGGCCCTTTTAAAGTCCAATTTTTTTTTTAATTTTGTGGCGCTACTAAAAAAAAGTTTACTCAAGGGCTTTTCAATGCTGTAAAAAAACTGGACCAAAATATATTATTTTTAACCAGCCCCACGGACCCTACCGCAGGCGAACATTAACAGAAATATGTTTTTTTTTAACTTTTATGCAACTTTTCGCTTGAATTAGTGATTTATAATCAAGAGTGAATTTATATATCGCTAAATCAACCCAGAACTCACCACGCGGAGGTATTTGCACCTAGAGTTCCTCCCATTTGGAGACCCTCCCGCCTTTTTTTTATAGCAATTTATGTTTTATTTCGCTTTTCAAAATATTGCGATTTGTTATCAAATGCTGGTAAAATTTTTCGCCCCTCTAATTTTAATCTAATATATCCATCTCTGGATGACTCACCGCAAACTTTAGTAGAAGCTTCAGTTACTAATTTTACACAGCGTTCCACCGCTTGTGTGTGACATGGAAATTTTTCAAAATTTAGGGCTTCTTTTCCTGTCACAATATCATCTAAAGTTTCATTTGTTATATTAAATGTTAATGGCGGTTCGGTGATCCTAGTTTTCTGCCAATCTATCAAGTCTATGTGATCGTCAGCATCTAAATTTAAAAAAGGTACCCTAAAAACTCTGTCATTTTATTAGTTTGCATCCTACATTTTTTAATTCTTCTTGCAGCTAATTCTCTAATATATGGACGTGGGTCGCTTAGCATTGCCAAAAGTAGGTTCTCGGGGTGGGCAAACTATGCATTGTCGACAAATACTTTGTTAGTTATATGTTTAAGATTATCTGGGAATCCTCTTGAAGCAATAATAGCTTTCCACAGGTGTCTCGCTCCATCGCAAATATATGGTTTTGTTTTAATTTCGAACCAAACAGGTGCGTAGACCTTTAAAATAAATTTGGTTAAAATAACTTGAGGGGAAGATTGATTTTTAATAGCGATATAAAGGCGTAGCATTCTGTTAGCTATTGTAAGCCACCGGGCATGTGACATCTTTCCTGGTTCTCTCTTTGCAAAATTGGGAGTAATGGTTCCATTTTGAATGCCTATGCAAATCTTATATAGATCTGTACTTAAGTCATCTGGTTCGAGTTGAGGAAGAGATGTCTTTATTGGTTTAATCTCTACAATTGGCATGTCTTGACAGTTTTTTAAAAGAGCCCCAATTGGTCCCGAAAAGCTGTAAGGTCCTTTGGTATCTCCATCTAGACTTTGCAATAAGTGCCTCAAAGGTAGCTCATTGGCATGGAGCAGACAAATGCACCATTGAAGAGGCTTATTAATGTGATTTTTAATTAATCGAATGATACCTCCCTTCCACCCAGTCTTTACATTTGTACCATCACAACCTATCACGTTTAAATAACTGATATCTGTATGATACTTGTTGAAGCATTGAAGAAGTTCATCCTTTGTATTTGCTGCATTAGCAGAGCCTTTTATATATACATGGGAAAAGTAAATATTACCAGGTTCGTTAATAATTGTAATGTGTTCTTCTTGTTGGGTTATCTTTTTGCTGTTTTTAATACAAATTGTTTGGTCCTTTCTCCCGTCAAAGTATAGTTCTCTTATGTCTTTGTTTTCTTGTTGCTGTTGAATCTTTTTTCGGTTTTTGCTTAGTTATCGACGTATTTTGCTTTTATCAATTACGTTTGACTGATCCTATTTCGAAATAATGTTAAAATCTTCTAAAACGGCATTAACAATTTTAGCTACTGCCCCATTGGATGTACCGGTCAAGTCCGCCATTTTTGCTGTTTGAGTTAGGCTGCACCGCATTTGCTGAAATTTAGGTGTAACAATTTGTTTTGCCAAAACTGGACATTTGTATTCCTCGTCCGTGTCCGAAGAACTCTCAGTTGAAGAATTATTGCAGGTATCCATATCTATTTGAGACAATTTAGATTTATTTTGAATACCGCTTGCACTTGATATTAGCTCTTTCTCTTTAGTTTTATTTTGAATGCCACTTGTACTTGGAATTGGCTCTTTCTCTTCGGCACTCCTTTTATGGCCAAGTTTTCTTTCTTCTCTTTTTTGTATTTGTTAGAATCATGTCAACTCCTCCTATTTTCATTTTACGATAAGACCTTTGATCTTGTAAAAAGGATCATTCTGCTTTCGGCACTCTCCTTTCTTTTTCACAGGAGCAATGATCTAAATCAAGACATTTACAAGTTGATATGTCAAACAGTTTTGTTGAGTTTTTATGAAAATTATCCCACTTAGCTTGTAAAAAGTTTGAAATTTTATCTTTTATAGGTTTAATAACATTTTGATATTTGAGATTATATGCTAGAATTACTTTAATAATTCTCTCGCGAGATAAAGTTGGCAAGGAAGCTCGTTTCCATACATGCTCTACTTTACTGGCTACAATATTTGCAACTATAGCATTTGCTGGTTGTTTACTGCCATTACCTTTTAACTCGATTTGCACGCTTAAATAACATTTCATCAAATCTTCATGAGTTGGTAGCTGATTTTCTTCTGGCAGATTATCTTTGGCGCTACCAAATAGAGGACACAAAAGATTTGCCCGAGTTTTGATCAAGGGTTCAGCCATTTTCTACGTCACGTTATAGTTTATTGTCACTAGTTTAAATGTCTTTAATTCACTACTTTAAAAAAATCACTATCTGAAACACCGTTATTAAAAAAGTATAGCACTTTAACGCCTTTACGATAATGCGGTCCGCACTGAACAAATGTTGAATCTAAACTGAATAAAAGGCCGGTAATCAGTAATTTTCGTAAAACAAGTTAGCTCACGTCTACTTCTCCTTCTACCGATTACAAGATCAATTAAATAGCAAACAAGCGAGCATATACGAGGGCTAATCAAACAATATATTTAAAATGTTCTGTTATGGACCCTGAGCCCGGTTAAAAATATTTTGTTTTTAATATTTATTTTTTTTTGAATCATTGAGACAATAAGGAATAGTTTATTCACTAGCGCCGTTAAATTTATATAATTATTTTTTTTTGCCCTTTTCGAGGGCCGATAGGCCCGGTTAAAATTAGTCCGATTATAATTTTTTTTTAACAATATTTTTTATTTCCATACATACACAACTTTTCTTTGGTAGCGCTTATGAAAATTTGAAAACAAAATTTTTTGACCCACCTTAGTATACAGACACACACATACATCATCGCGAAAATAGTCAAAACGACTTCAGGGAACCCCAAACCGTAAAAATCAGTCGAAAACTCGAGGTCGAAAAAATCATAGTTCCTATACCTTCTTTATCTGTATACAGACAGGAAAGTAAAAAATGTATTCTGTCAAAAAATCAATTCCTTTTTAAATAAAATAAATTTTAATTAAAAAGTGTATAGTATCCTATAAAATATAAATAATTTTAATATGCATAAAAAAAATCTGGGTGAAATGGAGAAAATTCTGGTCAACCTTGGAAATATTTTCTATAGAAATAAATCAGAAATTTGATGACCTGTGCCAAAAATGACATTTTAAAATTAATAATAATTAATGAAATGACACTTTCGATGAACTTAAATTAATTTTACACAAGCTAGCTTAGATGGCCTAGTCAAAGCACCTACTTCTACAATGGCGAATAGGTGAAATGTCAACTGTGCGCGATTTTAACCGATTGCTAGTGATTGCTCGGTGACTGTGGGAGATTTCGGAGACTGCGAGATAATTCTGAACGACTGCGACGATTTCTTAGCGATTTCCACTGATTTAGATGGGACTGCAGCGATTTTCAATGGGATTGCGGAAATTTATTTTATAATTTATTTTTGGTTTATATTTTCGCTTATTATCATCAAAATTGCCAGAGATTTTTCTAGTGATGTAGAAGTAATAAACATGCACCAAAATTTTAGTATCTAAACATCCAGTAGGTACATAATTTTGGAAATGCCAAAATTATAGCCCGAAACGGCTGATTATGCAGTATTCTGATTAATAGGAATTTATAATTAGCCAATATATTGAATACAAATTGTTAATTTGTAGCGAATACGTTATACCAATTATATTTGTTTCAGCAATTTCACCGGAATATTAGATTTATAAAAATAATTACCAACCATAATATATTCAATCTATTTTTGAATTAAAAGTATTAAACAATAAAAATAAAGTAATTAAAATTTATTAGATCATATCGAACAAATGGGATTATTTCGAATTAAATAGCTATTTTAAATAAAAAGCTTGGTAATTTAAAAATTTGGTTGAATTGCAAAAATTATTGCTCTTTGAATATATAATACATACCGATTAAAATATTTAACGCCTTTGTTTCTTTTTTACTTTTTTTATCAGTTATTTATTTTCTATAAAAACCTAGAAATTATTTAAGAGGTTGGTGGTTTCCACCATATATAAAACAAGCTCCATAAGAAATGCGTTAGATTTTAAAAATATTCATATTAGAGAAGTTGAGTTGAAACGAAACTTTTTAAAAACAATAAGGTTTTAAGTTATAAGAATTTATTCGGATATAAAAACCGCAAATTGATCGTAACACAATCATAATTAATGATGTACCTTGTTTTGTCCACAGAAGAGGTCACAGGATAATGTAGCTTACCTGAAAAAAAGAAAATTAATATTAGAATTATATTGTTTAAAAATTCAAATAAAGTTAATTATTGTACAGTAATTTTATCAAATTAACTAAGAAAATTGTATATTTATTTTTAAAACGGTTTAAAATATTTATATTATGCAATAAATTGCCCTTGAAATTTGTAGCATAATATTATTGTTCTACGATCACTATCGAAAGTGGACTTTTGCACATTCACATCTAACTGGAAAGTTGACGTTTTCCATGAATTCTCATAGTTTCACATTATTGCCACATATAGGCGGAAAGTTACTTTTTGCACACGCCTATTTTTATTAGAAAGGTTGTTATTATAAAGCTTATCGGTATTTTAAAAGGAAATGTATACTAATCTGAATCTTTTAGTTGAACATTTAATACTCAAACTCATTTTTTTTAATATTTAAATGATAATTAAAATATTAAAAATAAATTACCCTGTTTTTAACTTTCATATTTAACATATCTTGGCAACGTTGTTGAGTGTATCTTATAAAGTTTGTGCATTAAATCGAAAATTTCATATACAAAATTCAAAAAATTAAATAAAAGTTATACACGCAAGTGTTCCCTATAGCATGAGCTATCAGAATAAGTAAAAATTACTGGAAAAGTCGATGTTATAAAGTTAAATTGTACTCAGTACTGTATTCGTGTCCTTAAAATTGACCTTTGGACCATAATGAACCTTCTGTGCACCTACTAAGAAATTTATACGGCTGCCAGACTTTCAAATATTATGGAACAACTACGAGATGACTTGATCCAAATAGAAAACAGAATTAGAAATGCCATTAAAGCTAGCGAAGTTAAAATTTTGATGATACTAGAGTCAATGAATGAAAATGTGAAAAAATTAGAGAAAGAAAATTTAGAACTTCAACAAAGAGTAGAACTTTTAGAGAGAAACAGCAAAAAAACAACGTCGTGATTTTTGGAATTAAACCAACATTAAAAAAATTGTCTGTAGAAAATATCTTCAACTATCTAAATAGTGTACTTGGCCTTCAAATAAAACGATCAGATATTAATCACTTCTATCAACTTGGAAAATTAGAAAGAAGTCCCATCAAAGAAATACCAAGAAACTAAAGGGGACCAATATTACTATTTCTTACAAAAACTCAACAGGAAAGAAACAAAATTCTTAGAAACCACCTACAAGAAATAACAAAGACAACACAGGATCATTGCTATATAAAAAGAGAAAACCTCTACATAAATAATACAGCTTTTAGTGTAGAAGATAATATACAAATAGAAGAAAGCTACAATTCTATCGTAATACAACAATCAAATAGCGCACCACAAACACCAGCAAGAGAAAATAATTTATCTACATTCAATCAAGATAATAATAAAGAAATAAGAAAATTGAACGATATTGAGGACAAAGCAGCAAAAACAGAGAAAAAAGAAGAAAAAGCAGCGGAACATAAGGAAGAACTAAAAGAGGATAAACAGAGAAGTCGACAAATACCGCAAAAAATAAAGAAAAAGAAAAGGAAAGAAAAACGTCTGTTACTATTAGAAGTACCAGTCAGAAAACTGGTAATTAAAATTTGTAAAAATTGCTATCAGAATTGAAAAAAAATCTATTTAATTTCATAGTGTATAAAATTTGTCATTCTGTATAGTTCTTTTTGCTCCTAGTAAACTTTTCTTCAGTTCTGAATTGTACCTACCATCTCAATAATAAGTAAATTATCTTAGATTATAAAAAAAGTTCTAATTTTCATTAATAGTAGGCGATTTATTTAGTATGGATCCTTTTATCAAAGACTATAACTACACTTCATTTCCCACTAAAGTATTAGAGAATATCAATGACTTCAATCAAGTAACACAAAACCGGATCATTTTAAAAAATTTTCACAATAACATTAGGAGTATTAGTAAAAACGTAGATAACTTGGAAGTTGTTTTAAATCAATTCAACGAATATTTTGATTGTCTAATATTAACTGAAACAAGGAATGATTTTGATATAAACTTGTTTCAAAGAACAGGGTATAATATGTTATTTCATTTTGCTGATATACATAAATATGATGGTACGGTTGTGTATTTAAAAAAGTCGTATAATTATAATTATAAAATAGTAAAAATATATCATTGCAAAGCTTTGGAAATAATAGTAACTAAAGAAAATAAACGATTTTTTAAATATGGATGTGAATGTACCTGAGACTGAGAAGATTGTCCGTGACCAATTGTCACAGTTCTTTTATAAGGCTCCAAAGAATTACATCTTTGTCACAGATAACTTACAAAAGAGTTCAAATGTAGGTAGATTCTGATTCTCAGATACATTAGCTTTCCAGTGTCTTAACCTAGTTTTGTCTAACTTTGTGGTTAAGAGAGAAACTAAAAATAAATCTAAAATTGACTTTTCAGACAAACCTAATGCTGTTAAGCCTTCAACATGTGTTTGAAGTGTATTTAAAAATTGTCTTAATTGAGCATGTCATTCTTTTTGAACCGGCTGTAATTCAAAAAATGATGTGATATGATTTAAGGTGATTCGATTTTTATTTTGATAACGATTGTACAAAAGATCTAAAGCTACTTCGTAGTTTGTTTCCGAAGTACTTAAATGAGAAATTATTTTTAAAGCATCACCTTCTAGAGATGATTTTAAATATTGAAACTTTTGTACTGTTGTTAAAGAGGCATCGAAGGTTACCATCGAATATAGGAATACTGATTGATGGCAATTTGTTTTCTGGAAGACTGATTTGTTTACCTGACGATTGTTCTATAATCTCATCTACTTGTGCTACTAAATCATAATAAGTATCTTCAAACATTGTTCTCTGTTCTTCTTCAATGTAGCTCTTCTGCTTTTTAACTCGAATAGTTTGAGATGTGCGTTTTCATCTAACCAGGCCTTACAATGATCTACCTTTGACAATATCCCATTTCTCTTAAACAATAAAGCATCTTTTTGTGTTAATCCCTTTTTGTCCGCCAT